GAAAACTCAATCTTTAAGGAGTTATGGTCATTTTTAAATATTTAAGAATTCATGCCTTAAAAAGAGGTCCCAAATAATAGCTAAAAACGCCGAAAACTCAATATTTAAGGAGTTATGGCCATTTTAAAATTCAACAAATTCATATTTGAAAAAATGATCACAAATAATAGCTAAAAACGCCGAAAACTCAATCTTTAAGGAGTTATGGCCATTTTAAAATATTTAAGAATTCATGCCATCAAAGTTACCTACGTGTCGAGAAAACATTTTCAAAGAAATTATAATATTTTGGAAATCAATTTATTTTTAAGATTTTAAAAGTCCAGAATTTGTAGCGATTGTTTATTAAACCCTCAGCCATATGGCCACAGAGGGGTATATATCATTTGATACGGTCTCTTTGGACCAAATCCGTTTCAGGACATTTGGAGTCGATCTAGCGATGCCCGTCTGTCTGGCTGGTACGCACGATAATTCTCGAAGGGAGAATCCGATTTGATCCAAACTTGGTACATCGTAATATTATTGTCAAAATTAGATCGAGTTCGGAGATGGGCAAAATCGATCCACTCTTTCTGGTACCTCCTCCACAAAAGGTAGAATTTTTCAAAAAAAAATATTTTCTGCACAGAAAGAGAATCGATAATCCGATTTTATTACAACTTTGCATATCCTAATATTTGCGTCAGTGCTAGGTCAGGTACGAAAATGGACAATATCGGGACACTTCATCAAGTACCTCTCCCACATAGGGTCCACATTTTGAATAATAATAACTCTTATAAAATGTAATGTAAGAGTCCGATTGTCTTCAAATTACACACATCACAATATTTTTGTTAATCCAAGGTCTGCTGTCAAGATGGGGTATATCGATCCACTCATTCTGGTACCACCCCCACAAATGGTGGAAATTTTCAAAAAAAAAAATATTTTCTGCACAGAAAGAGAAGCAATTATCCGATTTGCCTCCAACTTTGCGAATCCTAATATTTGCCTCAGTTCTCCGTCAGGTGCAAAAATGGATAATATCGGTCCACTCCATTAAGTGCTTCTCCCACAAAGGATCAAAATTTTGAATAATTATAAATCTTATAAAATGTGATGTAAGAGTTCGACCTTCTTCAAATTATACAAATCACAATATTTGTATTAAAACAAGGTCTAATGTGAAGATGGAATATATCGGTCCCCTCCTTCTGGTTCCTCGCACACAGAGTGTCAACATTTTAATTATTTCTGAAGCTCATAAAACGCGAAATTAACATCCGATTCCATTCAGACTTGCCACATCTCAGTATTTCTATCAGCATAAGATCTGTTATAAAGATGGTAGATATTGGACCATTTCTTCTGGTACCTCTCCCACAAAGGGTCAAAGTTTTGAATAACCAAAACTATTATAAAATCCTAAATAAGCATCGGATTCTTTTCATATATCACACATCCCATTATTTCTGCTAACACAAGATCTGCTGTGAAGTTGGGATATATTGGTCCACCTCCCACACAAAGAGTCAAAATTTTGAATATCAATGGAGCTCATAAAACCCGAAATTAACATCCGATTCCATTCAGACTTGGTGCATCTCAATATTTCCATCAACACAAGATATGTTATAAAAATGGTAGAGATCGGACAATTTTTTCTGTTACCTCCCCCAGATAGGGTTCAAGATTTTGAAAAACAAACCGCTCATAGAAAGCGAAATAAGACTTCAACTCTCTTCAAATTTCCACAAACATTTTTGCTAACACAGGATCTGTTGTGAAGATGATATATATCTGCGAAGCCCTTCTGGCACCTCACCAACAAAGGGTAAAAATTTTGAATAATTATATCTTTCATAGAATGAGAAATAAACATCTGATTCAATCTAAACTTCGCATATTTTAATATTTTTACTAACACAAGATATGGTGTAAAGATTACAGATATTCGCCCACCCCTTATGGTAACTCCCCCCCCCCCCTCCCCACAAAAAACATTGGTCACATTTTTAATAATTATATCTGATGTAAATATGAAATCTGCCAGCCCACTCGACCTTCACGTACCTTCCTCACAAAAGGTTAAAATTTTGATTAGAAATCACTCATTCCCATAAAGTTGCAAATAAATGTTTGATTTTCTTGTAATTTTACACATTTCAATTTTTTCAGTATCAGATGAGGCGAAATACTTGGATCCACTATTTCTGGTAGCTCACGCAAATGTCAACATTTTCCAAAAAGTATTACTTATCTCATGTCCAGTGAATAAAGTAGTCAGTATAGTCCACATCTGACACGTTGTAACATTTATATCCGGCTTAGGTCAGATACGAAATTTACAATATTGGTCGATTCTTTTGGAACCTACTCCATAGAGGGTCAACGATTTGAATAATCATAACAGAAGTGAAAATATATGTAAATAACGGAACATTGACTAAGGGTATACATCTGTCGGCAAAAACGACTGAAACTTTTTAACTTGTTATAAACCAAAATTGATGATATTTTTTTATGGTACATATTAAGTATACCAAATTCTTTTGTTCAGAGACTCATGATGAAATTTTATGTAGAATAATTCTTCCTTTGGCAATTTCCCCAAATTATGCAGTATTAAGGGAGATCATGAGAGATGAAAAAGTAGTATAAAATTCGAATGTAATTTTCTTAGAAACCCTTACACCTAGGTATATGGTTTGTTCTGAGATTTTTAGTGATTTTTTGTGCAGAATATTCCTCCCTTTGACACTTCCCCTAAACAATCAAGTTTTGTGGGAGATTTTGACTTTGAATGAAAACGTGTTAATTTAGCGGTAAAAACGTAAACGCATAATGTTTACTTGTAATATATAAATTTGGAATGTATTTTTCCTAAAACCTATTAAACTTAGGCATATGGTTTATACTGAGATTAGTAGTGAAATTTTGTGCAGAATATTCCTCTCTTTGACACTTTTGACAAACAATCAAATTTTGAGGGAGATTTTAATTTACAATGGAAACCTTTTAATTTATCCGTGAAAAACGTACACATAATTTTTACTTAAAATATATAAATTTGGAATGTATTTTTCTTAAAACCTATTGAACCCAGACATATGATTTATTCTGAGATTAGTAGTAAAATTTTGTGCAGAATATTCCTCCCTTTGACACTTTCCGCAAACAATAAAGTTTTGAGGGAGATTTCGACTTAGAATGGAAACGTGTTAATTTTGCCGTGAAAAACGTAAGCGCATAATTTTTACATTTAATATATAAATTAGGAATTTATTTTTCTTAAAGCCTATTAAACCCAGACATATGGTTTATTCTGAGATTCATAGTGAAATTTTGTGTAGAATATTGCATCCTTTGACACTTTAGCCAAACAATTAAGTTTTGAGGGAGATTTTAACTTATAATGGAAAAGTGTTAATTAAGCCGTAAAAACGTAAACACATACTTTTGACTTGTAATATATAAATTTCGAATGTATTTTTCTTATAACCTATTAGACCTAGACATATGGTGTATTCTGAGATTAGTGGTGAAATTTTGTTTAGAATATTCCTCCCTTTGACACTTTCTCCAAACTATTAAGTTTTGAGGGAGATTTTGACTTATAATGGAAAAGTGTTAATTAAACCGTAAAAACGTAAACGCATAATTTTTACGTGTAATATATAAATTTGGAATGTATTTTTCTTAAAACCTATTAAACCTAGACATATGGTTTATTCTGAGATTTATAGTAAAATTTTGTGTAGAATATTCCTCCCTTTGATACTTTTTGAGGGAGATTTTAACTTAGAATGGAAACGTATTAATTAAGGTTTAAAAGCGTAAAAACACATAATTTTTACTTGTAGTATATAAATTTGGAATCTATTTTTCTTAAAAGCTATTAAACCCAGACATATGGTTTATTTTGAGATTCATAGTGAAATTTTGTATAGAATATTCCTCGCCAAACAATCAAGTGTTGAGGGAGATTTTGACTTACAATGGAAACCTGTTAATTTATCGGTGCAATGGTAAACACATATTTTTTTCTTGTAAATATTGAAATTACGAATGTACTTTTCTTAAAACCTATTAAACCTAGACATATTATTTATTCTGAGATTAGGAAATTTTGTGTAGAATATTTGTTCCTTTAACACTTTCCGCCTAAAACAAAATTTTACACAACTTTCATGCATCAACTCGAAAAATGGCCGAGATAAAACTGATTAAAAAAAATGGAAATATCGCATTTTTTGGCTAAATTGATGCAAATATTTTCTTGATATATAATGGAAATAGAGATTACTCTTCTTTGATGACCTATAGTGATGGAGAATATTTTTGCCTTTAATGTCCTCCTTCTAAAATGGTATTTTGTAGGAGAATTTTACATAAATTCACATGAAGTACGATTTTAACCCCAATATGATTTTTTTTATGTATTTAGGAATTCCTGCCGTTGAAGTAAGATTTAAACTTTTCTTATATTCTGGGACCTATAGTAGAATTTTTGTGACAAATAATTTTGTTAAAAATATTGACTTGCTACGATGCCGTTTATATGGAGTTACAGATCATTTTTTGAAAAAAAGGGTGAAAATGACACTTTTCTCATATACGCCTAAAAGTATGCAACGATTAAGAAAGCTTTGCCTAGGAAACAAATGTTATCTGGGGGTTTTTATATACAAACCGAGTATTTTGCATATATTTTCTTGATATTTAATGGAAATAGAGATATCTTTTCTTTGGTGACCCATAGTGAAATTTGATGGGGAATACTTTTGTTTTTGAAGTCATCCTTCTAAAATGATGTTTTATAGGAGAATTTTGCATAAATTCACATGAAGTACGATTTTAACCCTAAAATTTGTTTTTAATATTTTTTTAAATTTCTGATGTTTGGGTATGATTCAGACTTTTAATGTATTTTGGCACCTATAGTTGGATTTTAAAACATTTAATATTTTATTATGAACTTTTTTTAAATTTCCTTTTATTTTTTCCCATTTCAGTATGGAGTCTTTATGATTTTGTTGCTCATCGCCGAAATTGTTGCCGGTGGCTTGGCGGCTTTCTACAAAGAAACGGTATGAACAAAAATTTCAATAATTATAGATAATTTTGTTATTTGTTGTATTGCAGCGATTGCAATACAACATTTAGATTTGATGTAATATTTAATTTTCTTCATTTTTTTTGTTAATTATTTCCATCTCCCCAGGCCCGCAACGAAAGTAAAGGCTTTTTACAATCGACCATTACCAAATACTACACCAGCTCTGAACACACCGATGCCGTGACCCTGATGTGGAACCAAATGATGACAACCTTCGGCTGTTGTGGTGTCGTCGATTATCGTGATTTTGAACAATCGCCTTCGTGGTTGACCAGCAAGGGTAATCGCACCATACCGGAGGCCTGCTGTCGTTTGAAGGATATCAAGAATTTGATACCTGAAGATGAGTTCTGTGTGACAAATCCCAGTGAGGCAAACAGTTTCTACATGAAGGTAAGAATCTTGGGGGAGGAAAATAAAAAAAAATGGGTGGTTGGATGAAATGTAATCTACAGGGTGTGATAAAAAACTGCAACAAACGTCAAACGCCATAATTTTTACATTTTTTTTTTTTCTTTTTTTGTTAATTTTATTCAGCGAAAGCAAAAAATGTCGGAAATATCATCAAATTTTAAAATAAGTTGCGATTTGTTCAAATTGGTCACCTTTGGCACGAAGTATGGCCTTCAAACGGCCAATGAAGCCGTCACACGCTGCCCGAATGTTGTTCTGCGGTATTTTGACCCATTCCTCGGCCAAGCGAAGCAACTCTTTAGCTCTTTTGAGTCTATTTTTTTCCTAAGAACTTTTTGGAATTTCAATGGCTTTACCCCCAGCTAATTTTTCAATGTTTGCCGAATGGAATATTGCGATATGTTCAGCTCACGAGCCATTTTTTCGGCCACTGCGACGCAGGTTTCGACCAAGTCGCTTCTTTACTTTTCGAACCATTTCTGCTGATGTTGCTTTTCAGTATCACACAATCGGTAAGGAGCAATGGTACGAGACACAAAAGATTTATCCACATTTAAATTCTGGATTCCTCCAACGATAGCCACTTGTGGTTTCCCAGCCAAATATAAAGAAATCACCCGTATCACCCTTGAATTCCACCGTGAATATTTTTTTTTGAGAAAATTCTCGCCAAAATGCTTTTGTACGCTTGTAAACAACATTATGAGCTATCACTAGAATAATTTTAACAGCTGTCGGACGAGTGGCTTAGAAATGACAGCAGTCCTAATTTGGTTGCAATTTTTTTATCTCACCCCGTGAATGTCTTTTCCACTCCAGATTTGTTCTATTTTTTTAAATATTTTTAATTTAAAAATTTAATTAAAAAATGATTTTTGTTTGTTCTTTTTTTCCAGGGCTGCTATGAAACCTTCACCGACTGGATCATCATACATCGTGAAATTATTATTGGCGTTCTGGCCGGTGCGGGCATCATCCATCTTTTGGTTATTTTCTTGGCCTTCTGTCTTTCCAAATCCTTTGCCAAATATCATGGCATGAGACTGTAAACCATGGAAAGCAAATAATTTTTCTTCAAAAAAAAAAAGCTGATGAAACTCTGCCTTTATTTTCTACACACTTTGATACTAAAATCTATTTTTTTTTTTTCAACTTTATTACTTTTTATTATTATTTACAAAAAAAATGGAAAAGGACCATTTTACAAAGTCAATAAATAATTTTAATTATTTAATATGATTTCCCTTTTTGAAAACCTTCTCCTATCCTACCTTGATTAACCTTTTCTTTTCATTTTCCAAATTTGACAATTGAAATCAAAGACATCAGAAAAAAAAATATTGTTATTTATTTAAGTTAAAAAACAAATTTTAATAATGAAATATTTGAAATATAAACAAGTGTTTTGATAACATTCATAAAAATAAAATATTACCCCTTACTCCTCCCCCAACCCCCAATAATGCCAAGCTACAAAAAAGACAAGACAATATCTCTTTGTTTAGATGACCCAAAAAATATCTTTCAAACAAAAAAGAGAATTCGTTTTAATTAAAATAACCCCCAATTTCGTTAAGTTTATTATTATTTTTTAATTTCTTTTTTGTTTTATATTTTATTGTATTTTTTTCTTTTTGCAAATATTTTTTTCTTATAGTCTTAGAATCTTATTATTTTATTATAAGACATTCGTTTTGTATTATATTGAAAAATATTAAAAACAAAAAACAAGACAAACAAATCCACTTAAAACATCACATTAATATTGTTTGTTCAAGAAACATATGTACATACATATGCATATACATAAGTATAGTTTTTAGCATATACATATCTAACTACTATTTTTCTCTTATTGATAAATATGAAATTAAATTAAAATATTTTATATTTAAAATTTATATATGATTTGTTATTTTTTAAAAAAAAATTCAAAATATTGTTTAAATATATGGTTAATAACAAATTGTTCTTTGAAGATAATAAAAAAACAGGAAAATTGAACAATCTTTTTTTTAATTTCATTTAAACTCCTGATTTATTTTTAAAAATTGGAATAACATTATATTTCTTTTTTCAAGTTTTGTTAAATTTTTTCTTCTGCAGCGTTATTTTAGATACACTATATAAAAAAATTCAAAATATTGTTTAAATATATGTTTAATAAAAATTTGCTCTTCAAATACAATAAAAAAAACTAAAAATCGAAATTTTTTTAATTTAATTAAAATTCCTGTTTTAATTTTACATTTTGTTATTTTTTTATTTTAATATTTTTTTTAATATATATTTAATAAAAATTGTCCTTTGAATATAATAAAAATCTGAAAAATTGAACTTTTTTAATTTAATCAAAATTACTGTTTTATTTTTAAAAAAAATAGAATAACTATATATTTTTTGTTTTCATCTTTTGTTAATATTTCTTCTACAGCATTTAATTGGAAACAATATGTAAAATAAATTCAAAATATTGTTTAAATATATTTTTGATGAACATTTTTCTTTGAATATAATATAAAAAACCGAAAAATTGATTTTTTTAATTTAATTAAAATTCTTGTTTTATTAAAAAAAAAATAATTAGTTAATGTTTTCACATCAGCAGCGTTAAGTTAGAAACAATATGTAAAATAAATAATAAAAAACCGAAAAATTAACATTTTTTTTAATTTGATCAAAATGTTTATTTTAATTTTAAAAAATTGGAACAACATTTTATTATTTAGTTACATATTTTATAATTTTTTTCTTTTATTGTTTTTTTTCATTTTGTATCTATTATTTTTTTTTTTTTTGCATTATTTTATTTTTTTATTTTTTCTATTTCAATTTTTGTTAATTTTTTTCTTCTGCAGCATTAAGTTAAATATACTATATATTAGATACAATTTTTATCAATTTGAATATAATAAAAAAAAAAACTGAAAAATTCAACGTTATTTTTTAATCAAAATTTCTGTTTTATTTTTCAAACATATGAATAATATTATATATTTTTTATTTCACCATTTGTTAAATGTTTTCTTCGGTAGCGTTGCTTTGGAAACATAATATAAAATAGATTCAAAAATATTTTTTAAATATTTGTTTATTAAAAAATTTTCTTCGAATATAATAAAAAATGAAAAATTTAACATTTGTTATTTAATTTAATATTCCTATTTTATTTTTTCAAAAAATGGAATAACAGTTTTTTTTTTATTTTTTGTTAATTTTTTAATCTACAGCGTTAAAAATTTAATTTAGTTAAAAATCATAAAATTTTTAATTTCCTTGATTATATTAAACTTACTTTTTGATAATTTTAATCATTTTTACATTGTATAGTTTTCATTTCAACATTTTTTTTTTTTTTTTTTTTTTTTTTTGTAACCAAAATTTAAATTTTTTTTTTTTTTTAATTAATCAAATTGCTCTTTTCAAATAATATTTCATTCTTTCTTTCAATCCTTGTTAATTTTTACCTTAATCTTAAGAGAATTTTCTTATAACTATATTTCTCATAACCTTAACTTGAAAACTGAAATCATATCACAAATAACAGCAGCAGCAAAAACATCACTGATATTTATTCATTAAGAGTGGGTTTTATATATTTAGTATATATACACATATACAGAAATTGTGACTATGTTAAACCTTTAGTATAAATGTTTTCCAAATATTATTAAAAAAAAACGTATGTTTTATTAAAAAACACAATGTTAATAAAAAAATAATGAAAATTAAATTACATTATTTTATTTACGAAAATAATAATTTCGAATCGTAATTTCTACAGAGTACTATGGCTCTAAGCAATTTCCTATTTTCCCAAACATTTTTTTTTTTTTTTTTTGATTGTTCAATCTAAAATCTTAAATCAATGTTTTTGAATTTCAAAATTTTCCAAAAAAAAAATAAATCAAACTACAAAATTATATCGATTGCAAAATAAGACTAAAATCGTCCAAATGCTTAAAAGGTGAATGAATTTTCAATTTATGGACATTTTCTATCCACTCTCAAAAACCCATTAAATTCATTTTATGGACCATCATTAAAAAAAATATTGGTTATGACGAGACAATTTAAATTAAATACAAACATTCTGTTATTATGTGTTATAATTATTTATATTTTCTTTAACGGCCTATTCCACAATTCGAATAGCAACCGCCATCTACCTTTGAAATGTGATAATAATTTTTTGTTTGCAACATGAAAGTGTTCACAAAATCTAGCATACTTTAAGGAGCACCTGTTAAAGATTACCATTAAATGATTTCTGTTAGTTAACAGTTTCATGTTAAGTACTGAGAAAATGCTCACAGTGATGGCATACAAATGAGTACAGATGACTTGAAAAACAATTTTGATCATAGAAAATATTGAATTTTATACCCTCCAACTCGAAATATACATTTTTGGACGCCACAAAGTATATATATTCTTAATCAGCGTAAAATTCTATATCGATTTAGCGATGTCCGTCCGTTTATCCGTCTGTGGAAATCACACTAGCTTCCGAACGAAATTAAGTAGATTGATAAAATTTTACTCAAATGTATATTATGTCTGCAGGACTTTTGGTATTGAAAATGGGCCGTGTAGGGCCACGTTTTGGTATAGCCCCCATTCAACGGTACCTCCCGATATTCGGCATTTTGATGATTTTAGCGACATTATTCACCGGAATTGTTTTAAATTTGGTATTTGAAGTTCGTAATGGATAGTACAGCCCATGACGTCATCGTATAGCCTCTATATAAAGGTAACCCCCGATATTCGGTATTTTAATGATTTTAGCGACATTATTCACCGATTTTTTTTTTCAAATTTCGCATTTGAATATTGTAAAAGGCTTATGACAAAAGTTGCCTATGCAAGTCCACGTGGTCGTACACATACATTCGGTATTTTTAAAATTTGAACGGAATTTTAAACTGATTTTATTTTTTTGAAATTACCAAATTCATTCCAAATGGTGGATGGTATTCAAACTTTGGCCCAGGCGAATTTTATTTTTAAAAAATTGGAATAATATAAAATAAATTCAAATTTACATTTTTTTATTTCATCCTTTGTTAATTTTTTTCTTCAAAATACAAAAAAATAAAAATAAATAAAATAAATAATAAAATATGTATTTTTAAAAGACTAATTTTTTATTATTTATTTAAAAAAAAAATATTTTTAAAAAATTGGAATAACATTGTATTTATTTTTTTTTTATTTTTTGTTATTTTTTTCTTCTGCAGCATTAAGTGAGATTCTTTTCATAAAATAAATTTAAAGTATTGTTTAAATATAAAATAAAAATAATAATAATAATAAAAAGAAAACTGAGAAATTGAAAACTTTTTTAATTATTTATAAATTTTTTAATTTTTTTTTATGTAAATCTATTTTTTATATTTAAAAATTGGAATAATATTATATTTCTTTATTTGTTATTTTTAAAAAGTCTTCTTTATTTTTGAAAATTGGAATAACATTATATTTTTTTATTTCATCTTTTGTTAATTTTTTTCTTCTGCAGCGTTAAGTTACATACGCTATATAAAATAAATTCAAAATATTTGCTTAATAAAAATTGTTCTTTGAATATAATAAAAAACTGAGAAATTGAACATTTTTTAATTTAATCAAAATGTCTTTTTATTTTTAGAAGAAATTGGAATAACGTTATATTTATTTTTTTCATCTTTTGTTTTTTTTTCTGCAGCGTTAAAATGGAAACAGTATGTAAAATAAATTGAAAATATTGTTTAAATATATTTTTAATGAAAATTTTTTGTTTGAATATAATATAAAAAACCGAAAAAATTATTTTATTATTTAATTAAAATTCTAGTTTTATTTTTAAAAAATTAATTAGTTAATGTTTTCTCTTCAGCAGCGGTAAATTAGAAAGAACATGTGAAATAAATGCAAAAAAAATAAACAAATAAAATAAATTAAAAAACCCAAAATTTATTTTTTTTTTTTAAATTTAATCAAAATCTCTATTTTATTTTTCAAAAATTTGAATAGCATTTTATTATTTTGTTACATGTTTTTGTTAATTTCTTTTTCTTCCTGCAGCGTTAAGTTAGAAACACTATATAAAATAAATTAAAAATATTGATTAAATATATGTTTAATAAAAATAGAAAAACTATTTTGAAAACTGAATAATTGAACATTTTTTAATTTAATTAAAATTGCTGTTTTATTTTTAAAATTTGGAAGGACATTATATTGTTTTTTTTATTTCATCTTTTTTTCTGCAGCGTTAAAGTGGAAATAATATGCAAAATAAGTTCGAAATATTTTATAATTATATTTAATAAAAATTCTTATTTGAATATAATAAATAAATATATATTTTTTTCATTTAATCAAAAATTAAATAAAGTCGAATATGTTTAAAAAAAAATTCTAATTCTGAAAATTTAACATTTTTTTAATTTAATAAAAATCTCTATTTTATTTAAAAAAAATGTATTTATTTTTTCATCTTTTATTTTTTTTTTCTTCTGCAGCGTTAAATTGAAAATATTATATAAAATAGATTCAAAATTTTTTTTAAATATTATATTTAATAGAAATTGTTTTTTGAATATAATAAAAAACTGAAAAAATAGTTTTTTTTGCATTTAATCAAAATGTCTGTCTTATTTTAAAAACTGCACTGTCATTATATTTAATGGTGGATTGTATTCAAAGATCGGCCCTGGCGAATTTACAACTTTTTTTTTGAATATTGAATTGGCATACAATTTAAAGAAATGCTAAAGTCAAGTAGCTACAGATAACTTGTAATGTAAGATTTGATGTGGTATCCGCTGGAAAAGTTGTGCAAGGTTTGACCCCAATTGTGCCTAAAATATCGGTTCGAAATTCATAAGAATTGCAATTTTTAAATTTTCGAATAAATTATGCTTGGCTTGAGGTTGTTTGTACCTTTAATTTTTTTTTCGATATCCTTATATTTTTCCAAAAAAAAAATCGCTAAAAATTTTTGTTTTGTTCCCATAGAACAGCATGCAAGTGCATTAATATCTCAAACATGCATAAATTATATGATAAGAACATCTTTCTGATTTCCTGTGTGTCAGCGAACATTTGGCCAAATGAAGCATTCACATGCTAGGCAAAGTGAGGTGTATAAAAGCAATGACCAAACCAGAAAAATTATCATTGACAACAGCGTTTGAAGATTTAAAGCAACAACACAGAAAACAATGGTAGGATATTGTTATATAAAAATATTTAATTATTTAAACTCTATTCAACATTTATTTAATAATAATTTTTATTCGAAAAATTCAACTTTTTTTCTTCTAGAATTTTTTACAATTCTTCATGGCAATCAGCCTCTCCGCCCTTGCCTCCTGTGAAGTGAGCCGAGCCTACTTACCGGTTAGCAACCGGGAAATGCCATTATCCGATGAAGCCGTCGGCGATCTAATGGCCACCGAGAGCAATAATCTTCCACCACCCAAAACCAACGATTTAAATTCACCTGAAGTTCGACTCTTTCCGCCACTTACTCGCGAGGATCGCACTTTTAATCATCACAATTATTACCAACAACAACTACATCTGCAGCAACAGCAACACCAGCAATTATTACAAAATCTAGGAGGTGGTGGTTTTTATTATCAAAAATACTATGGCGTGGTACCCTTGAGGGCTATATATCTGGATCGTTCGGGTGGTTATGGTAATAAGCTAGGAAATGGAGGAATTCAAGAATTGGCAAATGGTGTTTATGTATTCAAACCCCTAGACAACAGTATATTTGAAGGTGTTCCAGTTGGCAATGGAAAAGGTTATGTTTTCGATAAAAAGTATTGAAATTTCAAATTTCGAAATGAAACACTTTTATATAAAATTATTTTTTATTTAATAAATAAAATTATTTTTACTGGGCAAATTTAAATAAATGGAATGAATATTTTATAGGAATATGTAGACAAAAATAAAAGTTAAATTTTCGATCTTTATTTTTTGTCCAATCCGTCAAAAGTCGACACAGAATTTTATGAATACAATCCAAATTGATTTTTTATTTTAGGAAAAATGTGAGATCTCGAAATCTCGTCTAATTTTATCAATAATTCCGTTGGAAATGTTTATTGAAACAGAAAACCTATTTGAACCGAAATTGCTGTGCAGCCATTTTCACCAAATACCAGGGGCCCAGAATTGAAAAGCAACAATAGAAAATGCATGAAATTGGGTCTTGTAATACCACGCAAATTTGTTAAATTAAAAGCCATAGCATAAGTTAAGGCGCTTCTTTGAAAATATTGCTAACTGGCAACACTTTATTGTCATTTCATGTGCGGCATTGCCTGACTCAACTGTTAAATGGCCCAACTAGCAAAACACAAATAACTCAATATGGTGGACCTATATAGACAATTCTCTTTCAGGGGGTTAAGTACTTAGAAGGAACTCCTTGTGTAGAATTGCAGACAATTTCTTCGAACTTAACCTGCCTGCAGACAAAACACAGATCGCTGCAAAATTTTAACTTCTTGTCTTTATTTCTTTTGATTCTAGCGTAATAACAACAGACGGGCAGACGTTCGGACGAACAGGGCTAAATCATCTCAGAATTTTACGCTCACCAAGAATATATATACTTTGATGGGTCCGAACCGAATGATGAACTTAATATACCCTCCATACTATATATATATGGTGGAGGGTATAAAAAGGGCTTTAAGTGAGGGTCGAACTTTTAATACCCTCGGCACCTATCTCGTTCGTTTTTATACCCTACACCACAAGGTGGTCAGGGTATTATGTCTTTGTGCATTTGTTTGTAACAGGCAAAAGGAAACGAGATAGACCCATAGTCCCTTTTGATGATCTGCATAGAATCACATTCTGAGTCGATTTATGCATGTCCGTCTGTCCGTCCGTCTGTCCATGTATTTTTGTAAACAAAGTACAGTTCGCATTTATTGCCCTATCATTTGTTTGTCCCAAGGACGAACCCTATTGAAATTGGAGATAATCGGTAAAAATTTAGATATAGCTCCCATATATATCTTCGTCCGATTTGCCTTTTATTGTACACTAAACGTGTAATATAAGCCCGAATAGTGTGTAATTGGGCACATACAGCCAAATTAGGCCTGAAAATAAGTATGCCAAATTTGATCGAAATCGGTTCTGATATGCCTAAAGCTCCCATATATATTGTTCATCCGATTTGTTATTTTTGTCTTCCGCAGCACTTTGTAACAACAATATTTGGGGAAATTTATCAAATACAGCTCAGAAATACACTTGCTAAATTTTATCGAGATCGGATCAGATTTGGATATAGCTCCCATATATAATTCCGTCCGATTTACCTTTTATTGTGCACCAAACGTCTAATATTTGCCCAAATAGGATGAAATTTGTCACTTACGACCGAACTGAGTCTAGAAGCTAGTATGCCAATTTTGGTGAAGATCGGTTCAGATATAGCTATAGCACACATATATATTGTTCATCCGATTTGTTATATTTGCTACCCACAGCCGTAATATGCACTCCGTAACAACGATATTCAGGGAAATATATCAAATACAGATCAGAAATATCTTTGCCCAATTTTATCCAGATCGGTTCCGATTTGGATATAGCTCCCATATATATCTTTATCCGATTTCAAACAAATTGTGCACCAAATGGGTAATACAAATCCGAATTTAAAAGATACAAATGCTTCGGCATATTTACTACTAAATTAGCAAAGTGGTGTAGGGTATCATAAAGTCGGCCCCGCCCGACTTTAAGACTTTCTTTACTGGTTTTTACTATGAAGCCATCCAATGACCTAAGCCATTAAAAAACATGTTCTAAGTGTTCTTAACTGATGCCGCACCAACAGTTTTTGCACGATCACGTTTGCGATTTGTATGGTATATGATGCATTCGACTTTGAAAACAATTTAATTGTATTTTCTAGAATTAAATGGATTTGGAAGGATAGATTAGGTGGATCAATAACTTAAGTATTTTAACTCAACCCCCCTAAAAAGATAGAGACGACATCTTCTGATTCGAACTTTGTCGATGATGGATGTTGAGAACACTTCATCGTCTATATATTCATTCTTCATTAATATATATATTATGTATTATGATATATGATCTTATTTTTATTAAAATAACAAACTGTCTTGGTTTTGCATCTGTCTATCTGGTCCTTTTGTTAAAAAGATAAATTATTTTCAAAAAAAATATAGATATATCTAGGCCAGTTCTCTACAAAATAATCAAATTGAAATTCAAAGCATGCTTAAAGGCGTTTTGCTTCCATATCGAAAAGTGTGACTCTGGCAATACTCTATAATTGCATACGAGGCGAGTGTTGCCAGAATAAAAATTAAATTAATTTTTTTTTCTTTGTATACATGCTATTTTATTATGGGCCCCTGGTATTTCGGTAAATTGGGTATTTGAGAAAACATTTTTTGGTAAATCGCAAAAAACTAGGTGTTTGGGTGGGGAAATAAAGATTTGTAGGTAGGTTAACTGAATTCTAAAGAAAAAACACCATTCCAAATAATACAAGACATACATATAAGACATACTTTCCCAATAATTACAAAAAACTGGAAGTCAACACTGCAATGAAAAATAATTAGAAGTAGCTATGAAAATACGTCCGGGATTTGTTGTGAAGCTGGAAATATATAAAAAGTATAAAAAATTGATTAGGGTAGGATTAAGAATATATATATTTTAAGTTCAAATGGTCCAGAGGGTCCTTCAAAAATATTCTTTGAAATATCCACGTTTATTGACCAGAGGGTCCTTCAAAAAATATTCTTTGAAATATCCACGTTTATTGACCAGAGGGTCCTTCAAAACATATTCTTTAAAAAATCCACGTTTATTGACCAGAGGGTCCTTAAAAATATTTTTTTTTTAAAAAATCGACGTTTATTGACCAGAGGGTCCTTCAAAAAAAATTTTTTTTAATCCATGTTTATTGACCAGAGCGTCCTTCAAAAAATATATTTTAAAAAATTCACGATTATTGACCAGAGGGACCTTAAAAATATTTTTTTTTTTTTAAATCGACGTTTATTGACCAGAGGGTCCTTCAAAAAATATTCTTTAAAAAATCCACGTTTATTGACCAGAGGGTCCTTAAAAATATTTTTTTTTTTAAAAATCGACGTTTATTGACCAGAGGGTCCTTCAAAAAAAAATTTTTTTAATCCATGTTTATTGACCAGAGCGTCCTTCAAAAAATATATTTTAAAAAATTCACGTTTATTGACCAGAGGGACCTTAAAAATATTTTTTTTTTTAAATCGACGTTTATTGACCAGAGGGTCCTTCAAAAAATATTCTTTAAAAAATCCACGTTTATTGGTCGGATGGGCCATGAAAAATATTCTTTAAAAAATCTATGTTTATTCGTCGGATGGTCCTTGAAAAATATATTTTTTAAAAAATCCACGCTTATTGGTCGGATGGTCCTTGAATAGTATTTAAAAAAAAATCCACTTTTATTGGTCGGAAGGTCCTTGAAAAATGTTCTTTAAAAAATCCACATTTATTGGTCGGAAGGTCCTTGAAAAATATTCCTTAAAAAATCTATGTTTATTCGTCGGATGGTCCTTGAAAAATATTCTGTAAAAAATCCAAACGATATTAGGATTAAAGCCGTACTTCATATGAGTTTATGAACAATTCTCCTACAAAGCATCGTTTTAGAAAGATGATATCAAAAACAAAAATATTCTTTATTAAATTTCACGGTAGGTCACCAAAGAATATAAATCTCAATTTCCATAGTATATCAAAAAAATATTGCAAAAAAACACGAAAATATTTCCTAACTTATTGTTAAGTTTTTCCTTGGTCTTTTTGTCGAGTTGATGAAGTCAAAGGAAGAATTATTCTACACAAACTAGCACCACAAATCTCAGAATAAACTATATATATAGGTCAAACGGATTTTAAGAAAATTACATTCGTAAATTTTTATATCACAAGTGAAGAAATTATGTGTCTACATTTTCACGGCTAATTATACACGTTTCCATTCTAAGTCAAAATCTCGATCAAAATTTAATTTTTTGGCGGAAGTGTCAAAGGAAGAAATATTCTACACAAAATTTCACCATAAATCTCAGAATAAACCATATGTCTAGCTCTAATAGTATTCAAGAAAATTATATTCGAAATTTGTATATTACAAGGGAAAATTATGTATTTACTTTTTTTGGCTTACAATTTAACACGTTTTCATTCTAAGTCAAAATCTCCTTTAAAACTTAATTATTTGGCGGAAGTGTCAAAGGAAGAAATATTCTACACAAAATTTCACTATAAATCTCAGAATAAACCATATGTCTATGTTTAATGGTTTTTAAGAAAATTACATTCGAATTTTGAATATTACAAGTAAAAATTATGTGTTTACGTTTTTACTGCTAATTTAACACCTTTCATTCTAAGACAAAATCTCCCTCAAAAATTGATTGTTTGGCCGAAGTGTCAAAGGAAGAAGTATTCTACACAAAATTTTACTACGAATCTCAGAATAAACTATATGTCTACGTTTAATAGTTTCTAAGAAAATTACATTCGAAGTTTGAACATCACAACTGAAAAGTATGTGCTCACTTTTTGCGGCTAATTGAACATCTTTCCATTCTAAGACAAAATCTCCCTTAATACTTCATTTTTTGTGTAAATTGTGAAAGGAAGAAATATTCTACACAAAATTTCATTATAAATCTCAGAATAAACCATATGTCTAGGTGTAGTAGTTTTTAAAAAAATTACATTCGAAGTTTGTATATTACAAGTGAAAATTATGTGCTTATGTTTTTACAGCTAATTTAACACGTTTCCATTCTAAGTCAAAATCTCCCTTAACATTTTATTTTTTCGGAAAGGTGTCAAAAGAAGAAATATTCTAGATAAAATTTCATTGTGAGTCTCTGAACAAAAGAAATTGGTATACTTAATATGAACCATAAAATATATCACTTTTGTTTAAAAAAAAAAATTCCAAATGCGCTGCAATTTTTTTTTTTCTAATTTTACTCTCTAATGGTCAATTAGGGTTGTGAAAATGTTCATGTGAATTTTATAGCTCTCGGTATGTAGATTAATCCCCTAGAACAGTTCCAGGTTTTCTTTAGCATTCACTTTCATATCTACATAGAAAAAATACCTTTCAGATTATCGTCCTGTTAGAACTTGGAAAAAATGTAAATTTTTGAAAAAATATATGCTATGTTTGAGATTAAAAATAAAATTCCAAAAATTATATGTATGATCTAATATCATACCCATGTTTCATTTAAATACAAAATCATTACATTTTATTTAAATATTTTTTTTTTTGTTATTTTCATTTATTGTAAATATAACCTTAGCGAATAAAATAAAAATATGTTTTTTTTTTCTTAATTTTTCTTTTCAATAGGAATAGTATAATCAATATATTATTATTATTATTTTTATTTAATTTTCATATACGCACAAGTAAGTGTGAGTGTGTGTGTCTGTTTCAAATTATCAATATGTATGCGTATATGTGTATGTATGTATGCTAACATCTTATTGAAAAAGAGTACTAGGTAGGTATAACTTAATATTATGCCATTTAAAAATTTCCGTCACTTTCTAAGCTACAAAAAATTGGCAATTTCCGTTTCAGTTGTTTTTTTGTTTTGTTTTATATTTTAGATAAAGATCATCGGTAAATCAATCGCAGATAAAATGTTCAAAGAGTTAACTCAGTATTGATATAGGATTTTTTTAATTTATTGTTGGTAACTATTATTATCGGCAAAGTTTAGATTTTGTTGTTTTTTTTTTTAATAAAACGTTAAGATAAATTTTTGTGGTTTTTTTGTTTTTTCTTTGTTTAGAACGATATAAAAACAAAAACTTGGAAATTTTAGTTTAGTCAGACTAACGTAACCACATTCACATTCAGTGTTCCATTTCAGAGATGATGATGATAATGACGATAATAATAATTATAATAAATACCTTTTTTAAATTGTATAAAAAATTAATGTTTATATTAAATACAATAAATATAAATGTCTGTGGTAAGAGTATAAAGTATATATAAATGGAGGTATAAAAAAGTATTGATATAAATTAATTATATTGTAAAATAAAATTAAAAATTAAAACAACACCCAAAACTATGTCTTTTGCTTGTTTTCTTTTTATCATAATACTTGTAGGAATATTGAGGATCAAAATAAGATTTTTTTGGAAACAAAATAGTAAAACTATTTTCTCAGAATTGAAAGAAAAATGAACAAAAAAAAGTAATGTTTAAAATTTCATAATTTTCTTAGAGAAAATTATTGGAATATAAATACAAGGATATAATATGGTTTGCCTTCTTAAAATGTAGTTTATTTCTCTCATACTCCTTGGCCGGCTAGGGGATGGATTTAAGCCCCTCCTGGTTTTATCAGACTGTAAATCATTCACTCGTGGCAGATTTACCCAAAAATGGTATCGTCAAATCCACCATATTGGGATATACCAAATATTTGTTCACAGCCTCACACAATTTGCCCTCAATGACATTGGTGACAATACTCCAGTCCACCGATTTATCACCCACAGTAGGGCGAGCTGTTAGCCACAGGCGTGGTGGAGCACGAAACCTAAATGAAAACAAAATATAATATTATATTATGAAATATTATTTAACAAATTTGAATACTTACGCTAACCACACTCTATCCGAAGGCGGTGGTGGCATGTTCACAGTAACTCTTCCAACCAAACCATGCAAGTCGATACCCAACGTTATGGTGGTACTCATATTTTCCATGGCCTTTTGGACATATGACAATTCCGTGGCGTATTGGAAAAAATTGGAAGTAGCAATGCGATCGACAAACTTGAAAATACGTCTGGCATTACCGGGATTTGTTGTGGAGCTGGAAACATATAAAAATTTTATTAATAAAATAAAAATTATTATATAATATATATTTATAGCTCAAAGGGTCCAATCCACGTTTATTATATGGTCCTTAAAAAATATTCTTTAAAAAATCCACGTTTATTGGTCGGATGGTCATTCAAAAATATTCTTTTATTGGTCGGATGGTCCTTGAAAAATATTCTTTAAAAAATCCACGTTTATTGGTCGGATGGTCCTTGAAAAATATTCTTAAAAAAATCCACGTTTATTGGTCGGATGGTCCTTGAAAAATATTCTTAAAAAAATCCACGTTTATTGGTCAGATGGTCATTCAAAAATATTCTTTAAAAAATCCACGTTTATTGGTCGAATGGTCCTTGAAAAATATTCTTTAAAGAATCCACGTTTATTGGTCGGATGGTCATTCAAAAATATTCTTTAAAAAATCCACGTTTATTGGTCGGATGGTCCTTGATAATTATTCTTTAAAAAAATCCACGTTTATTGGTCGGATGGTCCTTGAAAAATCCACGTTTATTGGTCTAAGGTTCGATGAAAAATATTCTTTAAAAAATCCAAGTTTGTTGACCATAGGGTCCTTAAAAAATATTTTTTAAAAACTAAACGTTTATTGACCAGAGGGTCCATCAAAAATATTCTTTTAAAAACCAACGTTTATTGGTCTAAGTGTTCTTCAAAAATATTCTTTTAAAAATCCGCGTTTATTGGTCTAAGTGTCCATAAAAAATATTCTTTGAAAAACCCACGTTTGAAGTTCTTTGGAACCTTGAAAAATATTCTTAAAAAATCCACTTTTAGGGTCTTGAAAAACATTCATTTGGACCCTTGAAAAATATTCTGTAAAAAATCTACGTTTATATGGCATGGCAGAACATTTTAAAGCTTTTTTAAGCGGTATTTTTGGGTCTTTTTTCCTTTAAATGGGAACATAGCAAGTCAAAATATTCTTCAAAATTATTTGTCGATAAATTCTACAATAGGTCCTAGAATACATGAAAAGTATAAATCTTTTTTAAACACAACAAATTCATAAATATGAAAATCAGCTGCAGCTGTACCTAATGTTAGTTTATGCAAAATTCGTCTACAAAGTACCCTTTTAGAAGGACAGTGTCAAATACAAAAATATTCCTCATTAAATTTCATTATAGGTCACTAATGAAAAAATCTGTATTTCAATTCTTTATCAAGAAAATAATTGAAACAAATTTTTTTCTTTGGATCATTTTCTAATTGATACATGAAAGTAACATAAAACTTGGGTTTTGACAGAAAGTGTCAAAAGAAGAAATATTCTACACAAAATTTCACTATAAATCTCAAAATATACCATAGACCTAGGTTCGACCATTTTTAACAAAATTAAATTTCGAATTTGTGTATCAAATTGACATTATTGAAAAGTTATGCACTTACGTTTTTACTGACAATTTTAATAAGTTTCAATTCTAAGTCAAAATCTCCCTCAAACCTTGATAATTTAAGAAAAGTATCAAAGGAAAAATTATTCTACACAAAATTTCACAATGAGTCTCAAAATAAACCATACGTCTAGATTCAATAGTTATTTAGAAAATTACATTTCAAACTTATGTATCAAAAGTGATATTTTGAAAATTTTTGTATTTAAGTTTTTCACAAATAAATTTAACAAATTTCCACTTTAAGTCAAAATCTCCCTCAAAACTTGATTTTTGAGAAAAGTGTCAAAGGAAGAATTATTCTGCACAAAATGTTATTATGAATCTCGGAATAAATCATATGCCTAGATTTAGTAGTTCTCAAGATAATTACATTCGAAATGTATATGTTACGAAGGACATGGATTACGTTTTTACAGGTTATTGAAGTCGTTTCCATTCTAAGTAAAAATCTTCCTCAAAACTTGGTTATTTTGGAAAAGTGTCAAAGGAAGAATTATTCCCCACAAAATTTCACTATAAGTCTCAGAATAAATCATATATCTAAGTGTGATAGTTTTTCATATAAAAATAACCCATAAAATCTACATTAAAATTATTATTTTATTTTTCCCCTTACTCACCCCTCATTAACACTGTTAGGATTTTCACCCATTGAACCGGTTATGGAACCCTCCGATTCGGTACTTGAACTACCAGTACTCTCGGCATCACTGTCATAGATTGCACTACCCGTTGGCAGGGGTATATCTAAAGGCATAACATCATCATTGGGATCACGTGACGTTGCTCCACCAACACCAGTAGCTCCAGCACCACCACCTCCACCACTACCACTTGTACCAGCCAAATCATTATTCAATAAAGTCGAATATTGAGGTGAATTTGACATTTGTGCATAGTTCGAATCTCCCATATAATTACTGCTGCGTGCAGGACGTTTCAAACGTAATAGATTTAATTTTGTGGTAACCGTAATTTGGCATAGGCCCTCATAGGTAATATCCATATCCAGCCACAGGCCACGTTCATCCAACAACGGTTGGGATGCACGATGCATCAATGGGGGTTTATCACCCAAATCGATGTTTTTGATAACGACATCTTCCATGAAACTGGGAAGCTGAAAAAAAGAGTAAAATTGGAAATTAGTTTTAATTGTAATTAGGAAAAGTATTTGAGGCTCACCCTTACCTTTATGGAATGCAATTTCCTTTGTAAAATCTCCTGCAATTTTTCCAAAATCAGTTCATTTTGTAATGTACTATAGATGATGCGTCCAGCCAAAACATTGGCCCACACCACACTGCCCGAGGGACCCAAAAACAGGGACTGATCAATGCCCTTCCATAACTCGTTTTCATGGCGTACAGTACGTTTATGCTGAAAGGAAAAATTAATTGTTAAAATATAAAAAAAATTGAAAATTAAATGGGATTTAAATAAAAATGAAAAAATATAAAAAATTAAAAAAAAATAAAAAAAACAAAACATACACTCCTTTTGCCACTCGTTGCTGGCATTACAGTTCCTTTGTAAACAGGAATTCTTGATTGTCTACAAGCTTTCTAAATAAAAAATATAAAAACAAAAAATTAAATGAATCAACAAAAAATGAAGCAAATAATAAATACAAAATAAAAATAATACATAAATACAAATTAAATTAAAAAAAAATAATTTAAATTTATTTTTAAAATTTGGTTTGAGTTGATATTTTTCTTAAATTGGCCGATTTTAATATTTTTTTACAACTGGGTTTACAACTTGCCACAAAGTCTATATTACAATGAAGTTCATTCTCTAAAGGTTGGGACATTCAAATTCAAAGAACATGGCTCAAAGAGACAAGACATAAAAAGTCTGGACTTAGAGGGGCAATATTTCCAGTAGGACCTTTTAGTTCGCCAGGGTGAAGGGTCAATTTTGTTTAAAACTCGATTCTGTTACCATCGGTTCTTTAAGACTTGAGCCACAAACATTTAGATCTTTAATCATAGACTTGATATATGTACATATATAGGGTCCGCCATGTAACATTTTCCTTTTTAAGGGTAGTGCTTATTTTGTGAATGGTAGTAAAAACAAAATAAAATTCTCGCCTTTGGGGCACAGAAAATGATTTTAAAAGCCGATGTACCCAACACGAATAACTGTTTGTAGGCGATTTTGGTCCAGAGGTATATTTTGGCCATTTTTCTTCGAATATGAGCAAGGAGTGGCCGTTATGTGATCGGTACATGTTAAACGAACTTATTAATTGGGAGAACATTGGCAAAGTTTATTTTCAGCATATTTGATGTTTTAAACCCTGTTTTTGAAGATCGCATTATCAGCCACTGAGCTGCGATTTGACACCGTTGGACTATTATTTGTGAGATGCCGTCAAAGATAAGTGTTACGCCGACAAGACAGTTACAATTGACGCATTAAAGGACAATATTCGTGAAGCGTCGTGATATAAAGCTGCACACAATCGATAAATGTGACCGATCTTGTACGCTACAACCGAGGTAGCCATTTGAATAAAATTATTTTCCAATATTATTTGCAAGGTTTGTGCTTTCGAATAGAAAAGAATTTTGAGAAAATATTCAGTAATTTATTTTTTGTAGCATTCTCACCAAAAAAACATTATATGGTGGACCCTGTTGTAGGGAAATATGTATAAAAACTCCCCTTACACTGGATCGTAGCAAGTCAAAATTTTCTACAAATTTATTTGTCATAAAATTCTGCTATAGGTCCCAGAAGACGTCCAAAGTCTAAGTCTTACCCAAACGTCAGGAATTAAAATATATTAAAAACTTATTTTAGGGTTAAACCTATACTTTAAGTTAGTTTATGCGAAATTCTCCTACAAAGCATCATTTTAGAGAAACGATGTCACTATAAGTCGCCACTAAAAAGAAATTGCTATTTCCATTATATATCATGAAAATATTTATATTAATGTTGCCAAAAAAGCGAAAATAATTTCCTAATTTTTTGATCAATTTTTCCTGTTCCTTTTTTTCTGTGCTGATGCATGAAAATAACATAAAACTTCATTTTAGACAAAAAATCTTAAAAGAGGAAATAATCTACACCAAATTCCACTATGAGTCGGCAAAGAAAAGAAATCGCTATTTCCATTATATATCAAGAAAATATTTACATCAATGTCGCCAAAAAAAAAAAAGCGAAAATATTTCCTAAATCTTTTGATCAATTTTTCGGTCTTTTTTCGAGTTCACGTATGAAAGTAACATAAAATTTCATTTTAGACAAAAAATCAAAAAAGAGGAAATAGTCTGCACCAAATTCCACTATGAATCGCCAAAGAAAAGAAGTATATCAAGAAAATATTTGCATCAATGTTGCCAAAAAAAGGGAAAAAATATCTTAAATTTTTTGATCAATTTTTTCCTCGGCCTTTTTTCGTGTTGATGCATGAATGTAACATAAAATTTCATTTTAGACAAAAAATCTTAAAAGAGTAAATAGTCTACACCAAATTCCACTATGAGTCGCCAAAGAAAAGAAATCCCTATTTCCATTATATATCAAAAAAATGCTTGCATTAATGTTGCCCAAAAAAGGCGACATATTTACGTAATTTTTTTAATCGATTTTTTCGTAGCATTTTTTTAAGTTCACGTATGAAAGTAACATAAAATTTCATTTTAGACAAAAAATCTTAAAAGAGTAAATAGTCTACACCAAATTCCACTATGAGTCACCAAAGAAATGGAATCCCTATTTCCATTATATATCAAGAAAATACTTGCATTAATGTTGCCCAAAAAAAGTCGAAAATATTTCCTAATTTTTTGATCAATTTTTCCTGAGTCCTTTTTCGTGTTGATGTATCAAAGTAACGTAAAATTTCATTTTAGACAAAAAAATCTTAAAAGACGAAATAATCTACACCAAATTCCACTATGAGTCGCCATAGAAAAGAAATCGCTATTTCCATTATATATCAAGAAAATATTTGCATTAATGTTGCCCAAAAAAGGCGAAAATATTTCCTAGTTTTTTGATCTATTTTTTATCTACCTTTTTCGAGTTCACGTATGGAAGTAACATAAAATTCTATTTTAGACATAAAATCTTAAGAGGGGAAATAATCTACACCAAATTCCACTATGAGTCGTCAAAGAAAAGAAGTCGCTATCTCCATTATATATCAAGAAAATATTTGCATCAATGTTGCCAAAAAAAAAACGAAAATATTTTATAAATCTCTTGATCAATTTTCCTTGATCGTTTTTCGAGTTATTGCATGAAAGTAACATAAATTTCGCTTTAGGCAGAAAGCTCCAAAAGAAGAAGTATTCTATACAAAATTTCACTATAAATCTCAGAATGTACTCTATATCTAGCTTTAATAGTTTTTAAGAAAATATAATACTAAATGGAAAAATTGGGGAATTCGCATGGGAAAAGGTTACAATTATAAATTATATTTCTACAAATTTAAAAAAATTATTCACACATAAGAATAATATTTTATGTTATAAAATACCATGTACAATAAAGCCCTCCTGATACCTGTTCTTACACTTTACCACAAAACTTACTTGATACAACGACATAAACTTAATATAATCCGTATCATTACGTGCCGCTCCTGAAGTCATCAAAAGACCCTCTATACACTCCGAATCATCAGCCATGACATCAACGAAATCATCTTCATTTTCCACGGGTTCCTCCTTTTCCGGAACCTATAACATAAACCATAAAAACACATTAGTATTCAAATTCAAAATCTCAAAACCAAAATTCAATTCAAACACAAAGCATGCGCACATCAAAATTGTCATCAATATTGAAAGTGATAGACGATGAAGATTGCTGTGACTCGGGCACGGTAAATTTCACCGATGTTGCTGAATTCTCTCTAGGCTGTAATGTGTATATATATATTTGATTAAATTATTACAATTGGAAACAAACATTTTGAACATAAGAACAGAGAGGAAGAGATAAACGAAAAAAAAACAGACAAAACGAACATTTATAGCACAGCTATATATACACAAATTAACATTTACAATTGAACAATAACAACAATACATATAGTTTTAATAATGAATATTTTTTGGGGGCTAAAAACCTTTGGATTGATTATCATTTGGGCAGCCCGGGTGGCTGCCGCTTGTAGACCTTTGTCATCAATTAATTTTACATTGCTCAAATGTAAATCTTGATCATTGACATCACCGTTGCTGGCACACACGAAACGTCGATACCTGGGAAGGAGAAGAGAGAAAAAAAGAGAAAAATTAGAATACAATTAGAATTGTAAAATAATGAGACATAGTAATCTTTGGAAAAGGTAAATTCCATCTTAGAAATTAGAGGTGTATTGATCCTCATCCTGCATTCTATGCCGCTCTTCTTCAAATGAAATATTCATAGGCAAAATATTTTCTAATGAACACGCATTTCTAAACAATTCAGAAATCAATTGGAGTTTTATTGTACTATCTTCCGGAATGTTCTTTCTAAGAGAAACTTAAAGAAAGGAAAACAAAAATCAAAATACACAAAAAATTTTTTCGTAAAATAGAGCATTACGACCAAAAAAGTACATCAACTAGTTATAAGTACAAAAAACAAATATGAAAGGATCGATCGGTTTTCCGACAGATATACATTATTTGCCTTGCGAAAAAGCAAAATTTTCAATATATTTTGCCAGAAAGTCCTTGAAAAAATTAATAAAAAAATCCACGATTGTTTAGCCAGGAAGTGCCATTTGACTCCATCTTATACCCTTAATCATAAGAGGAGGGTATATTTACTTTCTCATTCCGTTTGCAACACCTCGAAATGTTCGCCGTAGACCCCATAACATTCCAAGTCGATTTAACGATGTATGTCCATCCGAAGCCACAGCCTACTATATTCAATACAAAACAAGTAAAAAGGCTGTAAGTTCGGCCGGGCCGAAATTTGAATACCCTCCACTATTTGGAACGAGTTTGGAAATTTTCAAAAAAATAAAATCCGTTAAGAATTTTGGTAAAATCTTAAAAATACCGAATGTAGCCGTTATATTATATTAGCCGTTATTGGTGAGAATTTTCCGAAAAAAAAGTTATTTCTGGAGGAATTCAAGCGTGAGAGTGTGATTTATTTTTATTTGGCTGGAAACCAGAAGTGGCTATCGTTAGAGCACTCCAATATTTAAATGCGAATAAATCTTTTGTGTCTGCGTAGCTCGACATATGTCAAGGAAGTAGACGGAAGAAAACAGCAACATCAGCAGAAATGGTTCGAAAAAAAAGGAAGCGACTTGATTGAAACCCGCATCGCAGTGGCCGACAAATGGCACGTGAGCTGAACATTCGCTAAATATTGAAAAATGAGCTCGGGATAAAGCCATTGAAATTCCAAAAAGTGCAAGAACTTACACCGCAAAAGAAAGAAAATAGAGTCAAAAGAGCTAAAGAGTTGCTTCGTTTGGCCGAAGTGGTGAACTACCGAATTTGGTTTTGTCCGTCTCCGATGTGGAAACATTCGTTGTCCAGCAGTTTGGAAACAAACAAAATTATCGTGTTTACTTGCCAAAGAGGTCAGCTGAAAATGTGAACCTTCGGCTGGCCACCAGAACTCAAGCCAACTCAGGCCATGGTGATGGTGTGGGCCGCCATAACAGCCGATGGTCGCTCTTCGCTCGTATTAATCGTCCGTGGCAGCATAATAAATGCCGAATATTATCGCGAAAATATTCTGGAGGGTGTATTAAAGCATTGAGCCCACAAAAATTTTGGCCGCAGACCTTGGACATTCCAGTAGGACTCAGCACGCGCCATCCAAGAATGGTTACAAAATGAGGTTCCTCGCTTCATTTCCAGCACACAATGGCACAATCTCCAGATACCAGCCCGTTGGACTATTATGTCTGGAGCATTTTGGAAAGCAAAGTGTCAATCACCTCAAGCAAGCGCTTCGCCGGGAATGGGCCAAAATACCGCAGACCAACATTCGGGCAATGACGGTTTCATTGGCCGTTTGAAGGCCATAATTCGTGACAAAGGTGACCAATTCAAACAAATCTAAACTTATTCTAAAATTTCATGCTATTTCCGACATTTTTTTGCTTTCATTCAATAAAATGTAAAAATTATGGCGTTTGTCTTTGTTGCAGTTTTTTTTTATCTCACCCTGTATTCCTTATCGAAGTCATATCAAGCACTATAGCCATTTTATTTGGTTCATAGTTGGTATGATCTACTTCACATAAATTCCCAATATAAACTTTTTTGTTACGGGAGCTCTACTAAATACCCAAAGTGGTCCAGGGTATCATATATTCGGCCCCGCCCGAATTTTTTTGATATTTTTTTACTGGTTTTAATATTGCAAATATTGCGAAAAGATTCGAGACAAATCGAATATTAAATTTCTGAGTTATCGAGAGCATCAGCCAGATAGGTCTAAGCCCATTTAAAAATATCCAATTATTTTATCGCTTCCGTCCTTTTCTCCATGGTTGTTTGTTGAAGATAAAATAACGCGGAGGAAGGTTTGTGGATGGTCTCACTTCATAGGAACAACGATGAAGTTTCATTCCAAGTCACGGTGGTCTTACCTACATGGTCTGGGGCATGTTACTATCATAAAAAACACCACTGCTGCATCAATACTTCTGTTTCAGTTTCAAGTTGCCAGGAGTGGAACTATGTACATTTGCGAAGATCCTATCACCACAGGGAGTCACATTATTTTAAGTGAAGGTGATGAAGATAGTAGTAAAATGTTCACACTTTTAAATTAAAACTCCACACTTAAAAAAAAACAATTTGAACAGTTGAAAGTTCCCCATGGTTAGGGAAAGCACCTTATTTAGTATCTATAGAAGGGCAGGACTCCAGGGCAGGACTTGCTAATACCCTAGGTACCGGAGCCTTTGAGTAAAGTGATTGCAGTTTCATTGGTAGCTCCATAATCCATAAACCAAGCGAAGTCCATAACACAAAATTGAAAAGGTTTTCTGGGTCCTTAAATCGGTAGTTTACCCATTTCCCAACTTATTTTTTCCAAATTTTTAAAAGGTTTTTTTTTTACCCAACTATTGATTTTCCAAATATCTTAATTTCTTATCTTACCAATCTTCCTTCTCCCTAGCTGCTCGGGCAAATAACAAAATACGCACTTCATCGCCACAGGGTACGGTAATGGCATTTAGATCCTCATCGGGATTTACGTCATCTTGTAGTTTCTGTAACTAAATATTTAGACACTTCATTTTTGAAAATTTTTCCCCTTATTTTCTCTACTTACGTCAGCATTCATAATTGTGGCTCCGAAATCGATTTCAGCCTCGGTCTTTACACCTTCCGTTTGTGTTTGTTTGGGATCGTTTGTCTCCTTGACTTCCGGTTTGTCTGTTTTGACACGATGTCGACTAAATCGACGATGTTTCGATGCAATGGGTTTGGAAACTTCACCATTGGTATTGCTACTTTTACCCTCCTTATAGGGTTTCACTATCAACTGTATGGGATATTTGCGACTGAAATGTCTAAAAAGGGGGGGAGGAGATTTTAAATTTGGGTTATGATAAATTTTTGTGTGACATATTTCATCCTTTTTCTCCTTTGAAATGGAGGGTATGAAAATAGGGGTCTAAGATTTTATATAAATAAAATCCTGCTGATTTGTTAAAATAAAGTGACTTACCTTTTCCTAGCTAAACCGATGGGCAACAGTTCAATACGACAACCCAATAAATTATAACTACGGTGGGTTGTAAATACAATCGATTTACGATCTATGGGTGGTTCATTCCACATTGCCCGTTTGGGTATGCGGGCATTGGTATTGGAGATATGTAAAACGGAACCTGCAAGTTAAGAAAAAGGATATATTAATATTTCATCGTTGGAAAAAATGGAAAATAAAACCCATACCGTCCAATTTGATATAAACCGGGCGTAGCATAGATATGTGAAAGGTATTTGGATCATAACTGTCAACTTCGTTCATCCAGCCCTGGGAAAAGAGGAGGAATAAAATGCCATTATATATTACCAATTCAAATATACTTCACTTACCTTATAAGATTTCACCGTCTTAAACTCCTCTACGGCTGGCACCTCACAAATCGACATTTTACTATAATCGGGTATTTGGAACTTTTTCTTTTCCGGTTTTATGCTGATGGTGAAGTATTCAATAACATTTTGTATCAATTGCCATATAGCCTCTATAATGCTAATACTTAGGATACATGTCAGGACGCCGCGTATAAAATCGTGGATGGGTAGTATGAGTATGACAATTATACCCAATATGGAAAGCAGCGGTAAGGCCTTGGCGCGATCTACAATTAGCGTCATGGAGTTACGCAATTTTTCTCTGGTCGATGTCGCCGCCCCATGGCCATTTTGTTGCATGTTCGATGTGGTGCTGGATTTCAATGAATCATAGGATGGTACATTGGTAATGGTTGCCGGATTTTCATAGAGCACCTTAACCTCATGGCTTGATGCTGTTGTTCCACCAGCTGCTGTGGTGCTGGTTGTCTGTGACAGAGGCAAATCTAATTCATCACGTTTTGCCTGATGATCGTTCTGGGTAGTGGTGCTATCGCCATCATTATGGCTAACGGCAACGGGTGGTATCATGTCTTCCAACATTTCCACACCCGATTCAATTTCTATGTCCTTTTTGGCCTTCTCACCATCCACCACAGATTTGGAGGATTTCTTGGCGGGTTTGCCACTAACAACAACTGGGACGGCGGCAGCCATTTCTCCACTGGCCACAGTGGCTGCCAAGGCGGAAACGGGTGAAATATTTGTGGGCGAAGCCTGTTCTGCAGCATCAACACCCTTATTACGCCGTCTTCTCAAGAAATTACCCCTCAGTGACGTAGATGAGGAAGAGGAACCGGTACTTCTACTGGGACTGGTATCCTTCTTCACAGATGGCCTTATGGCCGTGGGTGGCACAGCAGCTGTGGTCAAAGTTGAGGCCTTCTTGGCCTGATGAGCTTCATGTTTGGCCTTTACTTTCGATTTGAGATGGGCAAAACCCCGACGTAAACGTGAATGTTCAGAGTCCCCTTCCAACAGGATTTCATTTTCAAAATCTGTATCGGAGTCTTCCAATTTGCTGGAGCGTTTGTTTTTACTGCTGCCGCCACTGCTGCGACGATCATGTTCCATTGAAAGATCCTCGCTGATGGAGGTTTTTGTCTCCTGATCCGAATCGAATTCCATTTGGGGATTTTGTTGTTCACCGCCTGGAAGGGAAATTTTGAATTTTAAGAATTTTTCTTTTTGAAATTTTGGAATATTTCAAAACAAACCCTTAATTACGACAGTTGGATAGACGGGAGGTGTCATGGTGGTCGTTGTGAAATTACTTCCTTTAGATGATTTAATGTCTTCAATTGTCTGTGATACCTTGCCTTTGATCATTTTCCATGTGCCCATAGACGTGGCATCACCACCCGACAGAGCTTGTATTAGATTTGGTCCAACAGATGTGGGTGAGACACCTTCAATGCTGCCAGATCTGGAATAAAGGGGAAATGAAAGAAATTATCAAAAATTTGCAGCGAGTTAGGAAAAAGTTCTACATTTGTCGAATTGAAAAAATTAGGAAACAATTTCGCGTTTTTTGACAACATTGAGGCATATATTTTCTTCATATATAAAGGATATATACATTTCTTCTCTTTGGTGACTTATAGTGAAATTTGGTGAAGAATATTTCTGTCTCTGACGTCATCCGTCTAAATTAATGTTTTGTAGGAGAATTTTTCCAAGACTCACATAAAGTACGATTTTAACCCTAAAATGAAATGTTTATGATTTCCTGGCTTTTAGGAAAGATTTATACCTTTGATGCATTCTAGGACCTATAGTAGAATTTTATGACAAAATTTTTCGTAGAAAATCTTGACTTGATCCCGTTTGAGTGGATTTTTTAAACGTATTTTGAAAAATGGTCCAAAAAGACATCTTTGGTGGCTAGCTTGTGGATGAGCACTGACCAAAAGATTCTCGTATTGTTATCAGCAATACTGCCGATGACACTAAATACCTAAAATGTGCAGATCCAGAAAAAATTTAGTCGGAAGATTTCTAAAAATGTGGATGAGGGGCAATTTTTTCCTCTCAAAGTGCTCTTTAATTACTTTTGCAGTCTACTAATAATTGGAGGGGCCCAGAGGCCGTCTACTGTATGGTAGATGGGCCCAGAGGCCGTCTACTGTAGAGTAGATGGGCGCAGAGGCCGTCTACGGTAAAGTAGATGGGCCCAGAGGCCGTCTATTGTAAAGTAGATGGACCCAGAGGGCGTCTACTGTAAAGTAGATGGGCCCAGAGGCCGTCTACTGTAAAGTAGATGGGCCCAGAGGCCGTCTACTGTAAAGTAGATGGGCTCAGAGGCCGTCTACTGTAAAGTAGATGGGCTCAGAGGCCGTCTACTGTAAAGTAGATGGGGCCAGAGGCCGTCTACTGTAAAGTAGATGGACCCAGACGGCGTCTACTGTAAAGTAGATGGGCCCAGAGGCCGTCTACTGTAAAGTAGATGGGCCCAGAGGCCGTCTACTGTAAAGTAGATGGGCCCAGAGGCCGTCTACTGTAAAGTAGATGGGCCCAGAGGCCGTCTACTGTAGAGTAGATGGGCTCAGAGGCCGTCTACTGTAAAGTAGATGGGCTCAGAGGCCGTCTACTGAAAAGTAGATGGGCTCAGAGGCCGTCTACTGTAAAGTAGATGGGCTCAGAGGCCGTCTACTGTAAAGTAGATGGGATCAGAGGCCGTCTACTGCAAAGTAGATGGGCCCAGAGGCCGTCTACTGTTAAGCAGATAGGCTCAGAGGCCCCCTACTGTAAAGTAAATGGGCTTAGAGGCCGTCTACTGAAAAGTAGATGGGCCCTGAGTCCGTCTACTGTATAGTAGATGGGCCCAGAGGCCGTCTACTGAAAAGTAGATGGGCTCAGAGGCCGTCTGCTCTAAAGTAGATGGACTTAGAGGACGTTTACTGTAAAGTAGATGGGCTCAGAGGTTGTCTACTGAAAAGTAGATGGTCCCCTAGACCAACTTCTATGGACAGAAGACCTTCAACAGGTCTTCTATGGACAAAAGACCTTCAACAGGTCCTCTATGGACAGAAAACCTCCTACAGGTCTTTTATGATCAGAAGATCTTCTACAGGTCTTCTATGATCAGAAGACCTTCTATAGGTCTCCTATCGACTTTTATAGGTCTACTATAGACAGAAGACCTTCAACAGGTCTTCTATAGACAGAAGATGTTCCACTGGTCTTCTATAGACAGAAGATGTTCCACTGGTCTTCTATAGACAGAAAACCTTCAACAGGTCTTCTATAGACAAAAGGCCTTCTGCATGTCTTTGATAGACAAAATACCTTCCGCAGGTCTTATATAGAGAGAATATTTTTTTATGGGTCCTCTATAGCAAAATATCTTCCACAGCTCATCTATAGACAGAAGATCTTTCATAGAAAGAAGATCTTCCACAGGTCTTCTGTAGAGGGAAGACCTTCTAGAGGTCCTCTATGGACAGAAGACCTTCCATTAGACTTCTATGGACAGAAGTCCTCCTATAGGCAAGACATTCCACAGGTCTTCTATAGACAGAAGACCTTCTACAGGTCTTCTATGGACAGAAGACCTTCAACAGGTCTTCTATAGAGAGAAGACCTTGTCTAATGAAGACAGAAGACTTTCTGCAGGTCTTCTATAGACAGAAGATATTCTAAAGGTCTTCTATAGACAAAAGACTTTCTACAGGCTTTTTCTGAGCAGAAGACCTTTTACAGGCCTTTTATAGATAAAATATTTTTTATAGGTCTTCTATAGCGATATTTCTTCTACAGCTCTTTTATAGACACAAGATCTTTTATAGACAGGCGATCTGAACAGGTCTTCTGTAGAGGGAAGACCTATTACAGATCTTTTATAAAGGGATGACCTTTTACACATATTTTTTAGACAGAAGATTCTTCACAGAACTGTTATAGACAGAAGACCTTCTTCGATATTCTATAAAACCCTTTCAAACGTCCAGGTTTTTTGTCACTAGAAATCCTTTAGAAGGTAATTTTCTGTAGTGGACTCTTGAAAAGGACTTCCGTTTTTAAAAAGCCTACGAAATCCCATATGTATACACAAAAGACCCTCGGAAGATCTTCTGTATAGAAGATCTTGTATATAGAGGGCGTTTCTTTGAAAGACGATTGGAAGGTATTCTTTCTATATAAAATGTTCCCAAACTTGTATAAATCTTCCTTATATCTAGGATAAATAAACTACCAGCTATGTCTTTTTTCCGCCACCTCCTCAAATAACAACTCCATTCAACATTTTTTTTATTCAGAAAAAAATTATTTATTAAGTGAATATTTTTGTTTTCTAGTTTTTTTTTCTCATTTTCATTCATTTTTTTAATAGTGTTATATATTATATAATATTTTATTTGTTTTTTTTTTTTTTTTTAATTTTTGTCCATCTGTATTTTTTCATTATTTTATTTCTGAATGCACCAAAAGTTTACAAGTTTATTAATTTGTTATTTTTATTTTTTTGTTGTAATTTCAGCTGTTTTTGTTTTTAACTTTGTATAAATTATATATAATTTTGTTCATAACTCTTCAATATATAGTGAGAAGAAATATTGCAATAGAAAGAGTAGGAGAATATGTATCGAAAAATGTTGATTACGAGAGAGAGAGATAGGGGAAGAGAGTATAAAGAGTTAAGGTTTTGCAGCTATGGTATATTTTCGAAATTGTTTATTTTTTTATTTATTTTATTGTTATTCGTTTGATTTATTTCACATTGGTAATAAGTTGGAAAATTTTATGTGTGTCTGAATTTCTATTTTTTCTTTAATTTATTATTTGTTGTTATTATTTCATGTTTCCTTGTTGGGGGGAAGTTTTGTTGAAAAATATAATTTTTATTTCTTTTTTCGAGTATTTTTTTAATTTGTTGTTGTTATTGATTTTTGTATTATATATATTTCATCTATTATGTTCTGTGTTATTTTTAAATCGGTATATATCATTTCTTTAAATATTGTTTAGCAAAAAACTTGAATTGAATCTGTCTCTGGGGTTAGGTTATCTTTACAGATCTATATCTTTTTGTCTTTTTTTTTTTTTTTTTTTTTTGAAAATTTTAAATGAGTTTATTTTTATTTGTATGTTTTCCCTTTAAAATATATCTCCCTTTTTTAATACATTGCTACTCATGGGTTTTACTTTTCAATAAAAAATATTTTATAGAAAAAAATAAAAACTACAAAAAGTTCCATTTTAATATTATTAAATATATAATAATTTTTTGTTTATATATTATTTATATATATTATATTTTTAAAAATAATTTAAAAGAATTATTTTCATATTTTAGAAGTAATTATTTTTCTTTTTCTGTTTTTTTTTTTTACTTTCTTTTTCTGTTATAAAAAAAATCCATATGAAAAAATATTCTTAGCTAATTTTTTGTTCAATCATCTAATTTTATGATAAATTATTATTTCTTTATATAGTATATATTTTTAATTATTTATTTTTTATTTTTAATATTTTGCTAAAGGAATTATTTGTAAGGGTATTATCATTCTAGTTGAATTTACTCTTCAATATTTTTGTGTGTTTCTAATGGAAGGATGTGTTTGATTTTTAATTATTTTTTGTTGTTGTTTTAATGATTAACTTAAAATTATGTTTGGTTAAAAATATATATATTTATTAATTTATATATAATCGATTTAGGTACTATATGAAGAATGGTCATTTTGTACATGTTCTCCTTTATCTTGCATAGGGGTTTTATAGAGAGGAAGAGAGAGAGGGGGAGAGGGAGAGAGAGAGGGAGTCAGAGAGAAAATCTTAAAAAGGGCTATTGAAAAAAACAGGTCTTGTGTAGACAGAAGTCTTTCTAAAGGTCTTCTATAGCCATAAGACCCTATTCATGAGATCTATACAGAGAGAATACTTTTTAGACGTCTTCCGTAGACAAAAGAACTTCTACAGAAGAGGGAAGACCTTATTCAAATCTTATATAGACAGAAGATCTTCTACAGGTCTTCTATAGGCAGAGGACCTCCCACAGGTCTTCTATAGACAGAAGACCTACTCTTGATCTTATATGGACAGAATATCTTGCATGAGTCTTCTATGGAAAGAATCTCTTTTATGTGTCTTCTATGCACAGAAGACCATTTGCATATCCTTCTTCAGGTCTTTTATAGACAGAAGCCCTTCAACAGGTCTTCTATAAACCGAAGGCCATCTACAGGTATTCTATAGACCGAAGGCCATCTACAGGTATTCTATAGACCGAAGGCCATCTACAGGTATTCTATAGACCGAAGGCCATCTACAGGTCTTCTACAGACAAAAGACCTTGTACAGGTCTTCAATAGATAGAAGACCTAAGGTAGGTCTTCAATAGACAGACAAAATTCTGCAGGTCTTCCGGAGACTGAAAACCTCGTACAGGTCTTCCATAGATAGAAGACCTTGTACAGGCCTTTC